ACGAAACTCTCACAGCGCCAAACCTCCGATTTTCGCCTGTGATGTCACGGCGGAGCAAAGGTTGAACTTATACTTCAAGAACGGAGCGTTCAGTCTAACTTGCTCTAATATTGGAGCATTCTTCTTTGTGACTTATTTGTTACTGTTTCGTAACTTGTTTGTTGTTTTCCAAAATGATTTTTCTTAGTTTTTTGAAGAGAATTACAAAAATTTAAAATTATTAACGAAATACCAGGTTGCAAGATTCCTACTTGCAACAAAATACTGATAGAAACACAAATGGAACTTGTTAATCGCAAATAAGTTACCTAATCTTTCGTCAAAAGTATGAACAGAAATAGTTTGTTATTTAAAAGTTATAAAGTTAAGTTAAGTCAGAAATAGTTTGTTATTTAACTGCGAAATTGTTAGAAAAGTCATTTAAAAAGAACAGAAATAATATGGTTTCCGAAAATAGTGATTTCTAGACAACGTTAGATATAATGCATGACTTCAATAACTCCATTGCTATGTCATGGGATACTGACCTTAATTTTGGAAAACAAAATAATCAATTCACAAGAAAAAGAACTAAATTATATTGTTGGTTATATTTCGTTTTGAAAATATAGATTCAAAATTAGGAATACCATCTTCTCAGTACATTCAACAACACAGAACCATTGCGGAATGGTTAAATATCTTATCTACGGGAGAATTAATTGTTCCATGAGTAGCATGGATGGAAGTGTGTCAGGAATTTGAGAACATTTTTCAAAGTGTGCATGGGGCATCAAACAGAAAATCAAAAAGTGTCATTAAAGAACTTATAAATGAATTAGTGGGACAATATCCCGCAGTGAATAAAACAGCAATATGTTTATTCGGTCGTTTAAGAACCTTTATAAGAATTCGCTATCTAAACAGAAACCACCCAGTTACTTCAAAGAGAATGGCAGGCCGAAAAAATTAAAAAATGGATTAAATCAAGGAAAATAAAAACTTAAATTAAAAGTATAAATAATTAATCGCTAAAATTCTCCTAATTTCATAACATACTTTTTAATGCAGTTATTCTAAATATTTATGATTTATTTTTGTTATATTCTCTTAAATTTAAATATCCATTAACAATTGTAAAATTTCTAACATTATTATGAACCGAAATTATTATTTTGTTTCAATAATTAGCGATTAAGGTTGTTGTTTCCTAATGATTAAGTATAAACAAATTGCTATTAAAATCAGGATTCTGAACTTAACCCAACTTTACAAATAGTTGTTAACTAACAATATGTAGCTAAAAAAGTGTATATATATGATTTGATTTTTTTTAATAATAAAAGTTAAAACTGAAAATTTTAAAATAAAGATTTCCGACAACTAGTTAAAAAATTTTATTAGTTTAAAATGGTATTTTTTTTAATATTATGGCCAAGAAAATTTTTCAGAACGAAAAAAATGTGTTAATTGTGCAAAATTTAAAAACTAATCTCAAGAAAAAGTTGAATTTTATTTTTACAGAGAAAATGATGCAAAGTTTTCATAATATCTTTGCTTGTGATCTCCGAGATCTGTGCGCATATATTTGAAATTTTTAATTTGAACCTCCCATTTATTTTAAATATCAAAAGAAAATTTTTAACATAGTATTAGGTATTTAATCTTTGTTTCTAAAAAAAATTTTATTATCTGGAACAAAAATACAATTTTATTATGCATTTTTATGATTATTATATATTTCTACGATAATGATGATTTTTATGACTTTTTAAATTTTTGCTACTATTAGGAAATATTTATTACTCTTTAAATTCTTATCATTTCTGTTTTTGTTTTCTACGAGACTTTGGAATACCAGAAGTTCACTTGTTAGTAAGAATATGAAGTTTGAAGAGCCTCAACATGGCTTTGAATTCTTATCAGATAAACATTGACACTTCTGTTTTTAATCAGGTTTATGTCTGTTATTGCTAAATCATTATGACGCGATAATTTTTTTTGATATTTAACTTTTTATTACACAACTAATGGCTTTCTCTTTCTAATCAATCTAATTAATTTTTCGTATTGGAAAAATATACACGGAGAAAAAAAACTCTTGTAAATTACCATACTGTATGGTTATGGTATTTTTGGTGAAACAAACCATAATTCTGATAGTAGAAACAAAAAACGGTATTGAAGCAATGCATTTCATAATTTTTCCGTCCATATGATAGCATTTAAGAGGAAATTCTGGTTTTCAAAATTATAGTTCTTATTACCACACATTTAGTAAAAAATACAAATCTTGAAAGAAATTTTAGCCGAACAAATTTTTTTATGCCATGCTCTAAAAGTTTTTTTTTTTTCAAGTGTAACTTGAAAATTAAGCGATGTATAAAATTAAGCGATGTATAAAATTTATGCGATGTATAAAATTAAGTGATGTATAAAATTTCATGAGATATTAAGCGATGATATTAAGCGATGTATAAAATTTCATGAGATATTAAGTGATGATATTAAGCGATGTATAAAATTTCATGAGAATAAATTCAAGTATAACTTGAATTTATTCTCATGAAATTTTGTACATCGTTTCATTTATTATCATGTATTCACCGTAAAAAATTCCGGATCAAATTATGATATAATATTCCGGCAGTTTTGGCGCATCATCCATAAAATCCCTTTTACTGTAAAATCCATTGTTGCCTTAAAATTTGTTTTTTTCGTAAAATATTTTACCAAGCATTTTACAGCAATATTTTTTTACTGAGAATGATTCAGTGATTTTATGGTATTTATAACTGTAAAAATTGCAGTATATCAGAATTTTTTGTTCCGCAACACGTTCCGGTAAAAAAGTACTGGCACCCTGAGTGCCAATTCTTTTTACAATAATTTGATCCGAAATTTTTTACACTGCATTTAATGTTTCTTTGTGTTGCTTCATGACGTTTAAAGACTGTTTCAGATTTCTATGTCTTTCTCTTCTTCTTAATACGTGTTTATTGTTTGCATTTCCTTCAAGTTTTCATTCATACTTTTCAAAAGTTGTTGTTTATTTCCCACTGCAGATATAAATAAATATCTGTTGTTGATATACAAGTTTGTTGTTGCATGCGCAAGAAGTAAGATATTATTTGTGGTTTCATATTTACTACATTTTTTGCTGCAATTATTAGGTACTCAGCTTAGCTATCTTATTTCTTTTAAGTATAATTCGATAACAAAATTCATTTCAAAATGCGAAATTCTCGTTCATTATGCACGTTAGTTTAAATAATGAATTAGAATGAAAATATTTTTTATTAGATATATCATGTGATATTTTTTTCAAAACCACGGACGCAACGTTCTTCTAGTTCCAAAACGTTTTTATTTATTTCCTGAAACATAGAACTGTTTGCTTTTGTGAAACCATTTTAAAATCTTACACCTTAAAATCTCATAACTCAAAATACATTTAATGCAATGTTTCAAATGTTTTAATTTATTCCCAGAAACGATTGCGAGAGCTTTTTTGAAAACATTTTAAGATCTTATGCCTTAAAATACTTTAAATGCTATGTTGTTCCAGTTTTAAAATGTATTTATTTATTCCCTGAAACGAAGCGTGCGCTTTTATGAAATAGTTTTAAAATCTTATACCTTAAAATACTTTTAATGCTCCAGTTTTAAAATGTATTTATATATTCCCTGAAACGAAACGTTAAACGAAATGTGCGCTTTTCTGAAACCATTTTAAACCCTTATATCTTAAAATACTTTTAAGGCAATGTTCTTTGAATTTCAAAATGTAATTATTTATTCCCTGAAACGAAATCTTCGCCTTTCTGAAACCATTTTAAAATCTTATAACTCAAAATACATTTAATGCAATATTTTCTCTGTTTTAAAACGTCTTTAGTTATTCCTGGAAACGAAATGTTCGCTTTTTTAAAAAAAAATTCAAAATTTCGTTCATTAAAATACTTTTAATACTATGTCCTTTCAGTTTTAAACGTCTTAGTTTATTCCCGGAAACATAGAAATTTTTACTTTTCCGAAACCATTTTTAAAACTTTTTTAAAATTTCGTTCATTAAAATACTTTTAATATAATGTCCTCCCAGTTTTAAACGTCTTAGTTTATTCCCGGAAACATAGAAATGTTTACTTTTCCGAAACCATTTTTAAAACTTTTTAAAATTATGTTCATTAAAATACTTTTAATATAATGTCCTTCCAGTTTTAAATGTCGTAGTTTATTCAAGGAAACATAGAAATGTTTACTTTTCCGAAACCATTTTTAAAACTTTTTAAAATTTCGTTCATTAAAATACTTTTAATATAATGTCCTCCCAGTTTTAAACGTCTTAGTTTATTCCTGGAAGCATAGAAATGTTTACTTTTCCGAAACCATTTTTAAAACTTTTTAAAATTTTGTTCATTAAAATACTTTTAATAAAATGTCCTTCCAGTTTTAAACGTCGTAGTTTATTCCCGGAAACATAGAAATGTTTACTTTTCCGAAACCATTTTTAAAACTTTTTTAAAATTTCGTGCTTTAAAATACTTTTAATATAATGTCCTTCCAGTTTTAAACGTCTTAGTTTATTCCCGGAAACATAGAAATGTTTACTTTTCCGAAACCATTTTTAGAACTTTTTTAAAATTTCGTTCATTAAAATACTTTTAATATAATGTCCTCCCAGTTTTAAACGTCTTAATTTATTCCCGGAAACATAGAAATTATCATTGAAAAAGTATGGTGAACTTCTAAGTAATTCACTCCTTGCGTTATTTACTTTACTTTCTTAAACTTAGTAAACTCGTTTTTCAAAGCCTAGGCGAGACTAGGTATCCAATTCAATTTAAAACATTTTTTTTAAAATTATAGTATAAATCTTATAGAGCGTTTGTAAAAATAAAAGAATAAACATATCGACATTGATAAGATATCGGTTTCCTAGTTTATTTCTCAAAGCAACTCTTTTATATAACTTCCTCTATCTCAATTTTTGATTTAAACATAAGATAAAACAAAAATTGCTATTCTTTTTCATTTAAAAAACAGACTAGTGATAAGATAAGTTATAGTCCATAAAGCTCCTATAAAAACAATAAATGATTGAATTGAAAAAATTGTAAAACAATTTTTAAAGCGAAATGGATATTATTTCTCTAGTATTTGCTGCTTTAATTATTTTCCTTACTCTGGCATGGCTTACCAGAAAAAAGTCTGATAAAAAGTCACTGCCTGGACCCACTGGATTACCTTTCGTTGGATATTTGCCATTTTTAACAAAAAAGCCATACATCAAGTTGCAAGAGCTTGCTAAAAAATACGGCCCAGTTTACAAGTAAGTTGCTTTCATTAAAAAATCCTCTCTTTTTTGTTAAATGAGAAAACATTTTTGAAAAAACCAATATTGTCAATCCTATTATGAATTATTAATTGTATAGTTTAATTGAAAATTTCAATATAATGCAGTTCAACTGACTTAAAAGCAAACTCCATTTTAGAAAATTTAGGCCAAAAATTAATCATAATTATTAATATTATAGATAAAATATTATTTTTTGTACAATTATTATTAACAGTGTATAAATTGCAATGTTTCAGAATTTTATTAAGAAAATTAGTTAAATTCCCCTTCAAAAATCTTATGGAAAATTAATTCTGTGCCAAATGGCTGAAAATTTAATCTGCGACAGCTCAAAACATTCTCATTGTCACAAAGTATAAAAATTGATAGTTTCCGAAATACGAAGCCTCAAACTATAAATAGTAATTCTCATGTCATTAGCATTAACCAAGAAAATTGAAGGAAAAAAAAAGCTAGTAAATGAACTTTTAAATAAGCATTGAAAGTAGTGAAAAAAGCTAGTAGCGAGTCAGAACGTCTAACGTTAAATGAGTAGCTCGCATTACACTGTTCGAATTTTCATTCTAAAATTATGGTAAAATAACTGGTCGTAGTCAGTCCATCTAATTAACCGCAGAGTTTTGGTAAATGATTTTTTGTACTTTCACGGTTTTGAGACCGTTTACAACTAGTATTGTTAAAAAGCCATGACAAAAGAAATTTAACCATACATTGTAGATAGCTCAGCAGCTTTATGGCAGCATTGATCTATGCGTGAATGAGATTATCGTGTTCTAATAACTCAGAGTCAAAAATTAGGGAGTGCAGGACTCAGGAAACTCTTCATGTGCTGAAGGGAATTGAGAAATTATTGTGGTGAAAACGTTCTTCCGTTCTTTCCGTCATAGAATTGAGCAGATTAGCCATTAGCAAAGGATTTAGTGGCATCATTAGGTGGGTCTAATTGGTGCAATTAAAATTCTGGCTGTTTAACCGCATTAAGTGAAAGCACTTAATAAACGATTTTTTCGCAATTAACAGTTTGAATACCATCTTATTTGTGGTTATTTTACTATTTTATTAGAATATGGTAAAATAACAGTTAAATAAATTGTTATTTAACTATTTTTTCCGAGAAATTTTTAACAGTTTACTTCTTTGCATTCATTTAAGCCAATAAGGCTGTACGCTTCAAGCACCTTTCACCACTGTAACCGTTGCCCATACCTCTTATGTTTGAGGCTTCGTATTTCAGAAACTATCCATTTTTGGACTTTGTGTCAATCAGAACTTATGCTCAAAATCTTTTGAATTGCTACAACGTATTAAATTTTCGGCCAATATGAAAGAAAGTAAATTGAAAGAGATTAAAATGCTTTGCGCGAGGTCCTTTGTGTTTTATGAATAAGTATAGCATTCATTTAACGATTGGGAAGATTTTTTTGAGATTGGAAATTTTTACGAATAGAAAGTTTTTGACCTGGCCGTATGCATTTTTTTTCCTTTTCACTTTATTTAAAACAAGATCCTGCTCACTCTAAAGAGATGGGAAAATTAATCGTTCATTTTGTAGTTTAGGAACTTAATTCAGCAGACAAAAGATAAAAAAAGAAAAATATATGTCTCATTGGAACACTCAAAATATTTTTGATACTATGGGTCGGTCTTAGAAACCATACTTGCAAAAGATACATATTAGCTTTTGAGTTACATTATAGAGAAAACCATGGAAATTTCCCTGTTATTCTAATGATCATTAAACACAAACCAAACTAGTTCCTTTATCATTTTATTATATATTTTGTCAGTGCTATTGAAAAATCAAGGAAAAAAATATGTATTTTCGTATTTGGCATTATGTTATGATCTCTGTATGTGGAATACACTAAAAAAAAGAAAAAACTAGAAGTGAGTAAATAAAATCGCATAGAATCTTGCAAAAGTAAAATTATTAATGTGTCATTATCTATTTGATTTATTCATTTTTAACTTGTTTAGAATTCGACTAGGCAGCGTGGATATACTTGTTCTCTGTGACTTTAATATTATAAAGGAAGCCTTTGCTGAAGATGCTTTTATGGGTAGACCAGCTGATGGTCCTTTCGAATTGAGTGACGAAACAATTAGTAAGTATTATAAACTTTAATTATTCAATATTGGTTTCATCATTTCATTACTACTTTTTAAGACGAGTAACAGCTTAATTAGGATTAAAAAAACAATCACATTCAGTACTTATTACAAATAGTTAAACGAGATTGTCTTCGTTTCTGAAGAAACAGTTTCCTGATCAATGCACCATTCTCCAAAATTTAGAAAATTAATATCTTCATATATTTGTGAAATTAAATCTCGTAAAAAGCATTCGCCTCAGATTCAAAATCTTCCACACACGACTCACTGCCAAACAAAAACTTTTCGAAGTTGGATTTAAGAAAAACAGTAATTCATCATTGAGAGTTTTTTTTTTAATTTAAAAAACCGATTATTGATAAATTTTTGAATATGAATGAAAAAAAAAATTTCTAACTGCTTTTTTCTAAATTTTTATATTTATGTACAAATATAATTTCGATGATCTAACATATTTTGTTAGTATTTATTAGACTGTTTTTTTATGTATTGGAAAATATTTGAGTGTAATTAAAGCATCAGAAAAAAATACATAAAAGGAACACCGGTGTCCCATCTGCGCCAAAGGGTAAATGGTGTAAGTCGATTAAAACGATTTAAAAATACGATATTTAAAATATAATTTGCGTGAGACCTGTTTGACAAGCAGACGCTCTGACAAAGAATTTCTGAAAAAATTCGAGTGGATCAAAGGTTCTTTAAGGATTAAGTTCTATCACATGTGTGTTCTATTGAATTATGAAAAAAAAATCAAGGATTTTTTGAAAATTCCACTAAGATACTCCCTCATAAATAACGTAACCAACCAATAGTTTAAATGAACATTATAAATTGTTTTTCATTGAATAGCTAAAAATACTTTTACAAAACCCATTTTTCAAAACCCTTTTTTTTACAAAAATATTTTTGCAAAACCCCTTCACTGTAAAAGGTACATATAATATCTTTAATTATCTCTAATCCTGTTTAGGAACTGGTGCTTTCTTAGGTATAGGATGGAAAGAACAGAGAAGGTTCTCATTGCATGCTCTCCGTGATTTAGGTTTTGGGAAAACCCGAATGGAAGCTCAACTTAAAGTAAACTCAATTTCATTGTTGTTTTGAATTAGAAATTTAAAAACATACTCCAAAAATAAAACTCTAATTAGTTCAGAAAAGAGAGGTAAAAAAGGATATTCTACATTAAGGATCTTCTAGCCTGTCCCGCGGCCACTATTGCTCCGCTGAGGATATTTTGGCGATCCGACAAATCATCTTCTTCAGTTTAAAAACAAGTACAAAAGACTGCAAAAAAACAATTAATTTAGATGATGTATATGCATAAAAGTTTGACATATTAGTCTGTTAAGTATTTTGTTTAGATAGAAAGAAGAAATAATAATTTTTAAGCTTCAACTCGATTCACAAAATTTTACTTTAAAATGGCTTTTGCAAGAATGAAGTTTCATGCAAGCTGAACAAATTGAGGTAAATAAAACAAGGACTTATCCGCAATGGCTTATAAATGAATCAGGTGCTGCAATACAGCAATTTCAGTTAATCAACTCATTTCAGATGCATTGCGTCTTAGTACACGTAATGGCAAGTTGAAAAAGTAATGAAGAGAACATGCTCAAAAAGGAGAATTATTTTTACGAAAAATAGAGTCATACAGCTTTTTTTTCTACTTTTTTTTTGCAACGAGAAAGCAGCGGTATGAACAAACATCATAATGAATTATGATACGAAACATACAGTTCAACTTATTATGGATAGTTTGAAGCGATGAAATTACGAAATCAAAAACAAAACTAATAAGCTAGCAATCAGTATTTTCCACAATAAATAAATACTTTTATGATAGTTTTCTTGTTGTATGCATAATGAATATAGTTGTAACAGTAGTTAACTTAATATGATCCAAGAGAAAAACTCAATTTCTAATTTTAACAAAAAATATTTAAGAAAAAAGCAGTAACTTACACAGAATTGTTATCCTTTTCCTGCCACTGATATCTTTTAATATTATCTAGCGCAGTGTCACGCTCGTAACCTCCTGAATTTAATACTGTGGCCCCAGAACGCAATAGGTAGATCACACCTCTACTCATCGTGATTCAAATTTCGTCAATTTCCGAATGAAATCTTAATTTAAAATAAACTTCATTTTATTGTTGCCTACATCAAACATTTATAAGTACACTGCAAAAAAGGTAATCGAATTTTTCTATTTTCCAAAGACAAGTTTTAGAGGGAAAGAAATAGAATTTCACTACACGTGCGTCATAATTTAGATTTCTGAAAAGCCTGAATAGAAGCTCAACTGAAAGTAAACTTCAATCTCCTTTTGCTTGAATCAATTAGTGGAAAGTATGCTGCAAAAAAGGTTTCGGTAGTTTTTTTTTCTTTAGTGGAAGAAGCAAAAGAAGTTCATGTTTTAAGTTTTGTTTATACCAAAATGAAAGCTCAACTTAAAGTAAACTTGATTTTAATCAATTTTTAACCTATCTTTCTATAATTTATAATAAATATTAAAACCATTATAAGAAACGACTTGTTTCTAAATCCACACACTCGACAAAATACTATTCGAGTATAAAAGTTATTTACATTTTCTTGTAAATTTTAACGAAATTGTTTTTCGCCAAAAACACAGCAATTAAATAAAAGACATTCTTTACCGTAGGAAGAAATTATTGAAATGTTAGAGAGAATAGAAGAACAAAGAAGTGAACCGATAAAAATATCTGATATACTTGCTTCAAGTGTATCAAATAACATAGCCTCTCTGCTTTATGGAAGCCGGATGAAATACGACGATCCGAGGAGGAAAAATCTGGACAAATTAATTGGCAATGTTGGTCTTTTGGCTGGAGCAGTTGGATGGCAAATGTTCTTTCCATGGGCCAGAGCTATAATGACATATCTGCAAATTGGAAATAATGGAAAACTGAGTAGAGCTCTTGAGGGAATAAAAGAATTTTCCAGGTATTCGAATCCAAAAAATTGCTCTTTCTTTTTCCTTCATTTTTTGAATGAAATTATTGCATATATTGTCATTTGAATTTAAATATTGATTTTGCCAATATATTTACTTTTATTTCTGGTTTATGGTTTTCTAGAACATGATTAAAATGAATATCAAGGAAACTTTTTAAGGTTCTACCGCCTATTCATTGACGCTCCCCAGCCCCAGAAGACAACCATGCAATTTTATAAGGCTTGGTAAACCATGTTCGCTTTGCATGCAACTAAGTTAAACCCATTTAAAATGTCTTTAAATGCATATAATCATAAGATCTAATAATTAAAATCTTTAAAACAAACTACTCATTAAAAAATTACTATTTTCAGTCAATAAAAAGTTATTAAATAAAGAACATTTAAAATTAAATGCTGAGTCGTTCATATCAATCAATAATTTTTGTGGATTTTGTCATTTAAAATTACGTGGTTTTAAATTGTGTAATAATTTTTATAACTTACTGTCCGAAAAACTTTTTGATCACTAGTAAATTTAAGAAACATGAGAAAACAAGAAAAAAGACGTTCAAATTTCCAAATATCCAGGCGATATTTCTAACAGCTCTCTCCTAACGAAACCATATTTTCCAGATAGCGACTTGAAAACAAAACATTCCAAGCATCCGAAATAAAGATATATTTATCCAGAGAAAACGCGTTTATGTAATTATTTCTTGACTTTAAATATGTTCTAAGTACATTGCTTATGGAATCATTAATACCGCGTCTTGCTATGTGAAAATCCTATAATTGGATTCAAAAGTTGTAATGTCTAATGGAGACAAGAAAGAAAACTATAAACGTTTTAGAATGTATAACATTTTTAAGATAAATCCTAGAAAACCTGCTTATGTTATTTGCATCACGTTGTCAAAGTTAAGCAAATAATTTTATTTATTCTATGAAATATTAAAGAAAAAAAACTAATTTACGATTAATACAATTTAAGCAAGAAGATAATTTGAGATTAGTTATGTAAAATAATAAGAATATCTGGTAATTATTTCAGGAAAGAAATGGAGGAACATGAAAAAACTCTAGATCCAAACAACATCCGGGACTTTATGGATAGATACATTATAGAAGTCAAGAAAAGAGAAGGACAAAATACTGGATTTCATAGTGAGAAGCAAAATTTCTTATTTCCATTTTTATTTACCTCTAGGAGAAATTAATTATAGAAATATCTACTATAGTTGAGAAATTATAAAGGAGTGGTAGACGATAATTTGAAATTTCGAGAAATGTTTTTATTTTTATTTTACCGAACAATTTACATAGACATATACAAATTAAATCAATTGGTATAAAGATCATAAAATAATAATTTTGAGGTTCTTTTTCTGCGAGCCCCATCCTAAATGTTAAAGTCATTTATCATGAAGATAGATAACAATAAAGCAAGCCTTAACTCACACTTCGTGTTACTCTACTTTTAAATTTAGGCATGTCATTTGTACCCTAAAAATTATTGCTTGGATGAATAAATACACATATTCAACGATGGAAGGAAAAGAGATGTATATGAAATGAATGATTGGTATTATTGTAGATAAATGTGCCTAAACTATCGCACAAATTGCACCAAAAATTTCAACCGTATGCTTTCCAATCAATATTGGTTTCTTTTCTATTCTTCCTAAATATTGCTCCAAATTGCACCAAAAATTTCAATCGTATGCTTTCCAATCAATATTGGTTTCTTTTCTATTCTTCCTAAATATCATATCAATCTCTATCGATGAAATAAAAAGTTAAGGTATAAATTCTTATCTAAAGGGTCATTTAAAATATTTTCAGCGAATATGGTTCCCTTTTCTCCAAAAATACAAAACATTATCCGATCGCTAATCCACAGAAAATCTAAATATAATTCCAATTTGATATATCTTTACAACGAAAAAGATTGTTCATAGCTTTGAATAATTTCTAGGGGAAGTTTTGCTGGATTTAGCTCGTGGATTCTTTGGAGCTGGCAGTGAAACGATTCGAATATCTGTAGACTGGATGACCCTGGTCATGGCGGGTTTTCCAGAGGTTCAGAAAAAAATACATATGGAGATCGATGACGTTATAGGACGAGATCGCTTCCCCACGTATGAAGATCATCTCCAAATGCCATACACCGAAGCTGCCGTATGCGAACTCATGCGATGGAAATCTATTATACCTTTGAATCTCATGAGATCGTAAGGAAATTTTAATCTTATTCTAAGAATATTAACTTTAAATGTGTTATCAGATGAATGAAAATTATTATTATTCGATTAGTACACCTTAAATAACTGTTATAAACGAGTTCAGCTGCTTGTACACAACTCCACAACATATCAAACTACACTGGTGTGCAAAACTTAAGCAACAAGTGTGTTTTTTCTCATAACTCTACAAGAAATCATCCGATTGACATGAAATTCAAATACGATGTACATTATTTTGTACTTAAACGATGGTAAAAGAATAATGGCGCAGAAATGAATATAAAGCTTAAAGTAGGGTATGGAACAAAAAAAGGCTTTGTTTGACATATAGTGGCGTTACACATGATTGCCTGAAGAAGCGTAAGTACAACTGGCAGATGTTCCCTAGTATGGGATATGCCCTCCCCTTACTGTAATTGTTGCTTGGCATCGTCTCTCCATGCTAAGCACCAGATTATCCTGGAGTTCTTGGGGTAAACGTCTCCATTCCTCCTTTAAGGCATTCTTCAGCTGATGGGTGTTACCAGGAGGATACTGTCGTGTCGCAAGACGTCTCCCTAATGCATCCCACACATGCTCTATGGGATTTAGATCTGGAGAGTAAGCTGGATAATCCATTCGTGTGATATCTTCACTTTCCAGTAGCTCTTGAACATTAGCAGTACGGTGTGGCCGGGCATTGTCATCCATAAAAATGAAGTCTGGTCCAATGGCCCCTCGGAAGAGACGCACATGGGGTAGGATTACCTCATTGCAGTAGCGGTCTCCAGTTACAGAACCTCGGTCGAAGATCTGAAGCTCAGTCCGCCCATTCAACATAATGCCATCCCAGACAACAACTCCAGGATCACCGTAACGATCTCTTTCCGCGATGTTATCGGGATGAAATCGTTGTCCAACCTCTCTCCAGATCAACTGACGTTGAGAATCGCTTGTAGCACTAAAACGACTCTCATCTGTGAAGAGGACGCGACTGCATTGATGAGGTGTCCAGGTTTCGTGTTCTCTGCACCACTCTAAACGGTGACGCCGATGGCTAACTTTTAAAGGTATGCAGCGAAGCCACCCTTGTGGAGGCGTCTGGCCACTGTAAATCTTGATACTTGTCGTCCTGTGACCGTGCTCAGTTGCTGAGATATGGCGCTCGCTGACTGAAAACGGTTTCTTTTCCCCTGGAGGACAATGTAACGGTCATCTCTTGGTGTTGTTTTCCTTGGACGGCCACCACCAATCTTCCGAACAGCTGTACCAGTAGTTTTAAAGGCATTCCAAGCACGAGAAACAACACTTTTGTTGATCCCGAACTCTTCAGCGACACTGGTCTCACTACGCCCCTCCTCAAGCTTCCCAATCATTCTTCCTCGAGTAAAGTCGTCTAAATGATTTCTTGAAGACATATTTCACAAAACAAATCACTTGCACTTGCAGCGAATGTCTTTAACTACGGTGCTCTTCATCCTTTTATCACAGCTTTGACCTGCGCGAGCCGACCCACAAGGTTTACGTACACTTACATCACCTACGGCGTTTTATTTCTAAAATTTGCATACAAATAATCTTTCGACTGAATTGCGTGCATATTATACTGCAATTTCATGGCTATCTTATACTTTGTTGGGAAGCTGCGGCCGAAAAACCACTTGTTGCTTAAGTTTTGCACACCAGTGTATATTAAACACAGAAAAAAAAATTCACGTATTTACTATTATTTACGTGGTTATAAACGCCGAGGTTCCTCTAGTATGTATTTTGAAGCACGAAACTATGTATTACTTGACACAGTTCGATCAAAGCAAAATTTACAGTTGAACTTCGCAAACATTTCCTAAGTCATAATAATAAATTTTTTAGTTAAAATTTTTGTATTTTAAATATGAAATCTATCTAAAATATTCTAAGAAACGTAAGTAGAAACGGAACTTATTTTAATGATTTATTTTAGATGTTATCGCTACTCATAGCTGGAATATAAATTATCACTGTCCTTGTATTTCGTTCTAAATTAAAAATGACGGAAAATCTGTTATACAAATGCGTGTGCTTTTAGCTCATATTCAGAGAACAAGTTTTATAAATTAGTTACTTCAATATTTGCCTTTAAACTACACATTTGTTTGGCAACTTATACGAATTCTATTAATATAATACTTTAAAAAAAATAATCTAATCAAAACTCTTGATTAGTCTGAAAGTCTACTTAAAGTGATCCATAGGATTCTCTCTAAAAGAATAAGATAAGGTTCTCTTTATATTGGAGAAACATTTGATTCTCGACTTGACATACCAACTTTATATACATATCCAATTTTACAATATATATGCATACAGGTGTAAGAATTTAAAAGAATTAGCAGACTTGGTCGATTATCTCCAGAACTACTGAACCGATTTTAATGAAATTTGGTATGTGCATACATTGATACAATATAAAACAAATAACCATTCAACAATTTTAATACACGTGCATGATTGTGCGTTACACTTGTTGGAGAAGAAATGAATGAAATTGCCACAAGATAATGGGGGCCAATTGCCACAAGAAATGATAAACTGCCTTATTTCAAGTATGAAATCATGCCGCAATGCCTGTATTTCTGTAAGAGGGGACCATACCCCCTATTAAGAAAAATTTAACCATGTAGGCACAAGATTTTAAAAAAAGCAAATTAATTTTATTCGTTGATCATTATGAGGGAATGGATATAGACAGAGTGACACAAAATCATCGTGCTCCTCAATAAAAGTTAGGGAAAATCTTGCAAAGAAAATTACATATATATATAGTATACACTGACTGTTGTTGTTGTTAATTTACGTCGCACTAGAGCTGCACAATGGGCTATTGGCGACGGTCTGGTAAACATCCCGGAGGATGATCCAAAGACATGCTATCAAAATTTTGATCCTCTGCGGAGGGGATGGCACCCCCGCTTCGGTAGCCCGACGACCTGCGCGCGCGAAGTCGAGCACTTTACGGTAGCACAGTTTAAAGGAGACCAATACCGCACACCCTCGGTCCCTGCGTAGACTGATCCAAGGTCAC